TCTGAACTACAGTACAAAAATTCACTCACCAGCCATAAAAATAACATTGTCTCCTATACACAAATATAATAATATGTAAAACAAATTTGGAACACATGGATGGGGAGAGCTACAAAATCTCTTGGGATCTGAGCTATTTAAAGTCATTTTTGTTTGGGTTATCCCTCTGCTGGGTATAGGAAACTGGCTACAAATACATCCATCTCACAGCGCTCACCATTTCAACAGCTCCTGCGTCATGGAATGTGGTACTTTTTAAAAATAGGCGACCCTTGGTGTCATGGAAAAAAGAGGGAAAATGGGGAGTTAGAGGATAGGAGGAAGAGAAAAACAGGCTTCAGTAACAAGGTGGACTTGGAATACTCTGTGGTATAAAGTAAATCCCCAGCTTCAGAGGCCACCCCTGTTTCCCACTCTGCTGCCTCCCTTTACAAATCTGTTTCCCGGCTGCTGTCCAGACAGAGGGCATACAGAGATCTCCGCAAGTCAACGTTGCTCTTGGCCTTGAGATTACACTTCTCCAGGGGGCAGCTGCCCCTTCGGTTACTGTCAGAATTCTCCAGGGACCCCCCAGCCTTGCAGAGGGAAGCCTTGCTCCAGCTGGACTTCCTTTGGCCTCCGGAGTCTAGTCCAGACCCCCGTCTCTGGTTGCCTTGCTCTTCCTTCAGGGCTGCCTGCTCTTCATGGTCTGTCTCCCGGTGGTAGAAGTAGTTAAAGTTGGAGACAATGACGGGCACAGGCAGGGCAATGGTGAGGACCCCAGCAATGGCACACAGAGAGCCCACAATCTTACCACCCACTGTGATGGGCCTCATGTCCCCATAGCCCACGGTGGTCATAGTGACTACTGCCCACCAGAAGGCATCAGGGATGCTGGAGAAGTGGGACCCCTGGTTGTCTGCTTCTGCAAAGTAGACGGCACTGGAAAAGAGGATGACTCCAAGGAAAAGGAAGAAGATGAGCAGCCCTAGCTCCCTCATGGAGGCCTGCAAGGTCTTCCCCAGGATCTGCAGCCCCTTGGAGTGTCTCGAGAGCTTGAAGATGCGGAACACCCGGACCAGGCGGATCACCCTGAGGATGGCCAAGGACATGGCCTGCTGCCCGTTCTGGCCACCCCCTCCTCCACCTCCTGGCTGTTGTTCTGCCAGTTCAGTGCCCAGGGTGATGAAGTAGGGGAAGATGGCCACAATATCAATGATGTTCATGATGTTCCTGGAGAACTCTGCCTTGCTGGGACAGGCAAAGAAGCGCACAAGCAGCTCAAAAGTGAACCAGATGACACACGTGGTCTCTACAATGAAGAAAGGGTCTGCCAATGTCCTAGGCAGGAGTGGGGCCACTGTCGGGCCAGAGGGAGGTGCCATGGCCCCGCTGCCATTGGTCCCTGAGGCGGGGGCAGAAGGCTGGTGAGGCACCGGGGGATGTCGAAGAAGCTCACGTTCATCCCTGAACTCAGGCAGGGTCTCCAAGCAGAAGGTGATGATAGAAATGAGAATGACTAAGACGGACACGATGGCGATGGCCCGTGCTGACCCAGAGCTTTCCGGGTATTCAAAGATCAGCCACACCTGACGTTGGAACTCGTTACGGGGCAGGGGTTTCTCCTCTTCTTTAATGAAGCCCTCGTCCTCCCTGAAGCGCTCCATGGCCTCGTCCCCCAGCTGGTAAAAGCGGATCTCATCTGCGAACACGTCCAGGGAGACATTGACCGGCCTCCGCAGGCGACCTCCAGACTGGTAGTAGTAGAGGATGCCATCGAAGCTGGGCCGATTGCGGTCGAAGAAGTACTCATTTCTCAGAGGGTCAAAGTAGCGCAGACGCTTGGCTGGGTCCCCCAGGAGGGTATTGGGGAACTGAGCCAAGGTGCCCAGCTGCGTCTCGAAGCGCAGCCCA